GTCCGCTAGTTTCTCGTAATAGTCCCTAATATAGGGTTCGAACTAATCCTATACTTATCCCCGTAAGTAGGTAGATATAAAGATTACTTTACTTACTTAGGTAGGAAGTCTAGACTAATTTATATTAAGGTATATATCTATCTAAGTAAGGAATCCGCGAAGCTTAGTTCGGTTTCCTTCGAAGTACTTAGCCTTTAGTAGTTAGGGTCCTTAAATAGCGCTAGCTAGTGCCGATATACTAACCTATACCTTAATTTATTTAAGGTATTTATCCACGTTAGTGAACTTAGCTCTAGTTCCTTCGCCGAGTTCGTTAAGTCTCTAAGTAAGGAGGTCGACCTTCTATTATAGTTCCTTAGTCTTCCTCTCCTACTCGTCTTCCTAGTTATCCTACTCTCTCTTCGAGGATATCGGGGTCGCCTCCGGCTCCCTAGTTGCCTTTCTACCGACTTAGGACATATTATAAATTGCGACTTAGATACTTAATTTAAGATAGGTCTTTAATATATTACGTACCGTAAACTAGTTATAGTTAGGGTTAGTAGATTACGGGTTATACTTATAAGGGATTTCTAATCTTCTAACGTTAACGATCTATCTCTTAACCGTACCGTTACCAAGTAGGCCTTACACGGACTAAGTCCTTTTAAGGGTATCGAGGAACGATACTAGGTAGAGCGCTCAATTGATCTATACCGAGGTATTAGTCAATTGATAAGTATTGTCGAGTTATAATCAAGTAAGAAGTCGCACTAGTAATCTAAAGGTAAACACAAGTAATAATGTAAGATTGAAGACGAAGAACTAAACTAAGTATATGAGGGAGTGTCCTTATATATCCTCCATCTCCTACTCCTTAGGTGACTCCCCGGTATACTCCCTAGGAGTAGGTGCGGGAGTCACTGTTGGAGTCGCCGTATACTCCCTAGTATACTCCCCGCGGGAGTCGATGCGGGAGTCACGGTCACGTGATCCTGCTCATCTGGGGGGCCGCCCCCCGGATGACCAACAAGGAAGGCGGTGTGGACGGGCAAGGCAGGTCGATTGGGCCTCGACGGCCCGTCCGTGCAACATGTGGGGTTACCAACGATTGGCAACTAGCATGTCCATAACACCTAGTTAACCCTCTACGCTAGATATATAGTATAGTCCTACTAGATAGGCCTTTAATACGTCGTTATATACGCTAGGATTATTCTAGAGCTTATAAGTACTTATATATTAGATATACTTAATATATACTAACGATATACTATATAGTCGTTATATCTAATCGTCGTGCTAAGCGTAGGGAGGATATTATTTCTACTTATAACGCTATTAAGCGCTAGATCCTTTAGCTTAGCTAGTAGAATACGAGCTATATATATAAACCTAGTCGTGGCCCTAATAATAGCCTTATCGGATTTTAGTACGATACTCTAAAGCGGATTACGTAAGTATAGAGTTCTCTTAGTAGAACGATATACTAAGTATATATTAATTATATATATAGGGCTACTAATACATAGTTTAGAGCTACTTATAGCTCCCGTTTTTATCGATTCTAAATCCCCTTAACCCTAACCTTTAGCTATTATAGCCGTTATATAAGTTAGCCCTCTATATATTTAACTTATACTAATATTATATAGCGTAGACCTAATATCCCTACTAATCCTATTCCTTTCCCTAGTTTTAGACCTACTATAGATACTTCTAATAGAGGTGATATAGGTAGTATTAATAATAACGATAGAGATAATATAGAGGGTAGTAATAGGGAAAGTAGTAGTTCTAGTGCCTTTAAGACTATAGTCTAGATCGCTATAGTTCTTTTCTTATAGATTTCTCTTTCTAAATAAAAATATATTAACTATATATATACTATATATTTAGACTTAAGTAAATATATATTAAACGTATAGGAATAGATAAAATTAACTCTATTTATATCTATAAATTATATAGTAATTCTTCTTTTCTCTTTTAAAGAGCCTAAATCCTTTATCTTCGCTTAAGTTCTATAATTTCCTACTATAAAATTACCTCTTTATTAAGTAGAACCTAATTCCTAGAAAGCTACTAAGATATACTATCCTATAGCGCTAATCTAGGTGATTTAGTTAGAACTAAACTATCTCTATATTAAGAGATAATCGATTACGCTCTAGGTATACTTTAACTATATACTAAGCTTATATCGGTATTATCTAAAGTAGTAACTAAAATAGAATCTAAGATACCTATAGGCTTAGGTGGCTATATTACTAGATTAAATATATTATAGGGATTAGCTAGATTCTAAGGAAGGTATAGCCTCCGAGTTCGACGATTTATAAAGCGACGGTTTCGTTCGTCTAGGATAAGGTAGATTAATACTTCTTACCTATTCGTTCTATATAGAAATTGAGAATATCTTAGTCTATCCTTAAACTATTTTAAAAGTAAGATCTATTTTAAGATATTATACGTTTTAAAAAAGCTTAGCTTACTTATAAGTATAATATATAATAAGATAATACTCTCTTTATTCGTTAAAGAAAAAGACCTTATAAATCTATTACTCGTTATTATTTTTAGTTAGATCGAACTAGTATTCGCGCTATACGCTAGTAAGACTTATACCTTATAGGTAATATAGTAGTCTTTATTTATAAATTAAAGTAGTTACTTTATTCTTAATATATAAGCTTTTATAGATATAGCGAAGCGCGGAATCTCTATATTAGCTTAGGATTCTTATAAATATAGGCGAAAGTATTAATTTACCTAGGGTTAGTTAATAAAAAAACGACTTAGTATTAGGAGACGATAACGTACGTATAGTTAATCCTAGTATATCTTAAGCGTCGATTACCTATATAATCTCGCGACTAATCTTGTATAGTAGCTTTATTAGTAGCGGTAGAAAATACGAATAAGACCCTTAGTATATAATTATAAAGAATAGAAATCGATTCTATAAGTAAGGAATATAAATATCTATCTTAATAGAGCACTTAGTCTTAGTTAATTTACTAATCCTATTAGCGTATACTAAATCTAGTATATATTTAGTATCTTTTAAATATATATTTAGTATATTAAAAAATTTAATATACTATAATATTAACGTCTAGCGGAACGATAGATAATAAAGTAGTAATTCCTAATATAGTAACCTATCGCTTATATTCTATCCTTTTTATATAAAAGTGTTAAAAATATAATATCGACCTTTATAGAACTTCTAGATATAGATTAGGTATAATACTAAGTCTATTCGGGTAAGTTATTAGGATAATTAATAAAGGTGATCTAACTATAGTAAGTATATATTTTACGTATAGATAGTATATAGACTTACTCTATCCTACTACTATACTCTTAGCTTTTATCTACTATATATTAGGGTAGCTAGACTATAGTAATATAGCCTATTAATATTCTAGGTATAGAGAAATCTAAAGTAGAGCCTATATAATATATTAATTAAATATATATTAAGCTTATACTAACCTTAAGAAACTATTAACCTACTCTCTTATTCGTTACTTAATAATCTAGCTAATAGTCCTATATATAGGCTTAGCGGCCTTTAACTATAGTTTAAGAAATAGTTCTAGTTTAACCCGATTATACTTTAGTAATAAGTTTATAAGGCTATAGTAGACTTAATAATAGTGCTAAATCCCTATATACTAAAAGGATCGATACTATAACTTTAATTCTTTATTATTAGGGCCTTTTTAGAGAAGTTTTATACTAATTTACTTTATAGACTTAAGATATTTTATAGAGAATTAAATCTATATTTATAAGTGATAAGTAATAATTCTATATATTAAGTATATCTAAATCTTATAGCCGATATAAGTTATATAAATCTCTTATTAATACTACTAAAGTCGCTAGATATATCCTAAAATAGATTATTAGAGGTATAAATAATATATAAGATACTATTATCGTCTATAGTAGGATATTCTAGAAGTAGAAGATACTCCTAAACTTTATAGGTAGTTATAATATCTCTATAATTAGTACTAATTAAAGTTCTATTAGTAAATACGTCTATTTAGCTTAGGCCTAAAATAGACGTAGAATCTAGAGAACTATTATAATCCTTATTTTTATAATAAGAACTAGCCTCGGATAACTAATAGCTATCTAGATAGTCCTTATATTAAGAAGCTTTAGAGTTTGATCTCGGACGCTAGAATATAGGATAGAATTAGCATATATATAGTATATAGCTAACGTATAACGTATAGTTAGAATATCGTAAAGAATACGATTAAGTTCTAATATAGTAAATACTATAGACTCTTCATTTGAAGCCCTAATAGGATATAGAGAGGGTTAAGGTGGTAGGGAAGGCGATTGGAGAAAAGAATCCGCTATGATAAAGTATAGCGTAAAGAATGCTTATAAAAAGCCTTGTAAAAGCATTGAAACGGGGTGAATAAAAATTTTCTACGCTAAAAATTGATTATATAAGGCAGGTTTTCAGGACCCGATCAGGTGCTGGAGCTGAACGGGACCCGTCATTAGTCATATTTTCACAGGTCCCGTTGAACTTTTCACGGGTCCCGCTGAGCTGGGTGCCCGTTTGAATTCATGGAGGTTTTATACCGGCAGAAAATTATATAATCAGGGGGGTGGGGCTACGATATTAAGATTAATGCGTTGTCAGTGTACATATGGTATTTGTTGCTGGTGGCATCGTACAGATAAAGTGATGCATGCGCTGAGCTTGTAAGGGCCGGCATTCCTCATACGAAAGGATCATTTAATGACTATATCCTCCCTGCATTTGTAGTACGTTGATATATGCTACACTTATATATGCATATATACATATATATGATACGCGTGGTATTACTGACAGCGGAGACCCCTTCATTGTTTCTATAACCATTTGCTATAATTACTGAGACGAGCGTACACCAGCAGTTGACATCCATTATCTCCCATCACGATCGAAACGGTCTATTATTTCAGAAAACATTTTCTGGTCAAGCGACACGGCAGGGAATATGTCATTAGCCGAACCATGTTCCTTTCCTGTTCTCGCGGAGGTAACCGAAGGAACTCATCCTGACAGCCATGCGGAGGTTCGCCTTGAAAACGCGCAGCTTGAGTTTGGGCTTCACTGCAAAAACGCCGTCGAACTGCTGCCGCTAGTCAAGGCTGCCTGGTCATTGGTCCTTCACAAATTCTGTGAGGTTGATCTGGTGAGCTTTGGGGTTATTATCACCGCAGAACCCCCCAAGAACAACTCCACGTCCACAACAAAGGCTGGCGGCGTCTACCAGGAGTCATCATGCTTTGAGATGTCGGTCACAAGGGAAACAAGCTTGCAAGATCTCACCCGCGGGGTTGGTGCTCGAGCTATAGCCATGCCTGCCCGGTGGGATGAAATGTTCAATACTGGGCTATCGATCGCAATTTTTCGACCCTCCGAACTCTTGGACCTTACGTGCCTAGCACAGTATCCAAAAGGAGCAAGATCGGAGCTTCCCTCATGGAACATTGACAACAAAAGTTCCCTCTATGCTGTCGAATTGCGAATTGAAATCTACCCAAACACCGTGACGCTTATCCTACGATACAGGAACGCTGTTCTCTCGGAGAAGCAGGCGCACAATGTAGCCAGCACAGTGGAACAGGCTTTTATTTCCCTGCTACAGCCGTGTGCACGGACAGTGGGCAATACCAGTCTGATCAGTAATCGCAACCATGACGACATTGCCCGGTGGAATGGTACAGATATACAGGAGTCGAGCAAAATGATCCATGAACTATTTCGAGAGCGCTGTGTCGCCGTCCCAAAGGCGGTAGCTGTGTGTTCATGGGATGGTGAACTTACTTACCATGATCTGGACGCGGTATCGGATCGTGTTGCTGCTCATTTGGCTGTCCATGGGGTTGGAACCGGCGTCTTTGTTTCCGTATGCTTTGAAAAGTCCAAGTGGTTTGTTGTGGCAGCTTTGGCCGTCTTAAAAGCCGGCGGTTGCTATGTGCCACTCGATCCCTCAAATCCAGTCAGTCGGCTCCAGAGTATAGTACACGAAGCGGAGGCTAGACTTCTCCTGGCATCTAGCCAAACTGCTCAGCTTCTGAGCAGTGCTATGAACCGAGTGATAATTCTGTCCGACTCAGCCGTCGCCGAGCTTCCCGAACCGGGAAATACACTTTCGCCGGTTTCCAGCAGCGCCCCAGCATACATTCTTTACACATCTGGAAGCACGGGCAGCCCCAAAGGGTGCTTGGTGGATCACAGAGGCTTGGCGAGTGTGGCCGACTCACACGGCACAGCACTCCAGATTCAAAGCCATAGCAGGGTTCTTCAGTTCGCATCGTGCAGTTTTGGGATGGCCTTGATCGATTTGTTTTGCATGCTGACCAAAGGCGGTGCAGTGTGCATCCCGTCGGAAACCGAACGGACTGGCGACCTTATCGGGGCTTTAAACCGGTTACAAGTCACCTGGTCCATCCTCACACCATCGCTTATCAAAACGATAAACCCCAGTGATGTCCCGGGAATCCACACGTTGGCCATCGCAGGTGAACCACTCCCTCGAAACCTCATTCAGCACTGGGCTCCTCGAGTCCAACTAGTCCAGGCATATGGCCTGACAGAGTGGGCTGGCATCTGTGCCGTCAGCAGTCCGCTGTCGTCATTATCCAATCCTGCAAACATCGGTGCCCCCCCAAATGCTCGTTTCTGGTTGGTCGACCCGGAAAATCCCGACCAGCTTGCCCCGATTGGCGCAGTGGGCGAAATGCTGCTAGAGGGGCCGTGCCTGGCACAAGGCTACTTCAAGCAGCACGAGGAAACAACGCGCAGTTTTATTTCGCCTCCGTCATGGCGGAAGGGCTTCGGGTCGCCATTGGCCTCTAGGCACTTCTATCGGACCGGGGACATGATGCGATATCGTCCAGACGGGGACTTCAATTACATCGGACGGAAGGGCACGCAGGTGAAGATCCGGGGCCAACGTGTGGAACTGGGGGAAGTTGAATATCACATTGGGAAGCAATTCGGAAGCGATGCAGAGACGATCGTGGCTGAGACAATGGTTCTTAAGGGCGAAGATCAACCGAGCCTGGTGGCCTTTATCCTGCTACGATGTCGGGGACGCTCGCAACCATCGGATGCTTCGTTTTTGGCGCCGCCATCTGATATCTTCCGCAGCAAGGCGCAGGCAGCTAGCATCTCGCTTTCAACTGTATTGCCCCGCTACATGCTGCCCGACTTCTATGTGCCGCTCAGTCAGGTGCCTCTAACCATCAGCCGCAAGACGAGCCGCAAGTCCCTACGCCAATTAGGTAGTGAGAAGACTAGGCAGGATCTCAATGATTACCTGTATCTTCAGAAGAAGCATCGCAATCCGCGGACCCTCATCGAACGCGTTTTGCATGGTGTCTTTTCAAAGGCTCTGGATCAGGACCCGATCACAATCGGGATCGATGATAGCTTCTTTGAATTGGGAGGCGACTCCATCCTCGGGATGCGGGCAGTTGTGCTTTGTCGCAAGCAAAAGATTCCCTTGACTATGCAGGATATTTTTCGGTACAGGACTATAGCAGAACTCGCGAAATCCATGCCTGTCAGTGTCGTCAAGGCCAAACTAGAAGCACTCGATGCATTTGACCTCTCATCTGCACAGCAGGCTTTCCTACAGGCCATTCCGCATGGGTACAACAATGTAAGCCGAAGGCTTGTCCTCCGGTTGAAGACCCAGGCCGACGTTGATACTGTGCGGTACGCGGTTTCCGACGTGGTAAAACGTCATTCGATTTTGCGCACCACCTTCGAAAGAGGGTATACTGGTCAGTGGCGCCAGCATCCTCAAGACCATAGTTCAGGGGCATTCGGATTCCGCGCGGATCTGATATCTGATATCACGGAGATTCCGCGCCTTTTTGCAGAAATGCAAGCGAGCCTCGATATCGAAACTGGGCCTGTCTTTACATCCGCCATCACAGAGTGTGAGTCTGGTGAGCGACATTTGCTGTTTGTCATCCATTGCCTTGTGATGGACAAGCAGTCATGGGCCGTCCTCTGCAAGGATTTGGACATGGCACTGGAGAGGGACCCGGCGATTCAGGAGCCACCATTGCCCTTCCGAGACTGGTGTCAGTCCCAGCAGGGGCGAACCCGCGCAACGAAATTCCCACTACTTGTCACGAAGCACCGTGACGATACGTCCTCCCAAGATGTCATCTTGCAGACCCATCTTAATCTCGACGAGCAACTAACAGAAACTTTAGTGGGAAAAGCAAACTTGGCCTTCCGTACTCTACCGGTAGACATATTACACGCCGCATTGCGCCACTCCTACATGAATCATGTCATGGACGCACCAGCGCTCGCGGTTTTCCTCGAGTTACCCGGTCGTGGGTCGCCGGACCTGGACACGTCCAACACTGTGGGCTGGCTGGATACGATAATCTCAGTGCAATTCACGGTGGATAGCGAGGATGAGAATGACATCGTCGAATTCACTCGGCGCGCCAAGGATGCACGCAATGGCTTAGATCAACTTTTTTCAAGCGACCGGAACACCGAGGCTCCTCTGACCGTACTGCTGAGGTTTGATGCGGGCGACCCTTTGGCGCAGTGGCAGGGACAGGCTGTAGAGCAGGAGCATTTGATCGAGAATAACATGGCCATGGACGCTTTCCCCCCATTGGCGGTACTCGACGTGATGATAACAATGGCCCAAGGTCAACTGCATTTCACCTTCCGTTACCATGACAAGTTCATCCCTTCTACCAAAATTCATTTATGGGTGACGCAATTTGAGCGGTCTCTGCAAAATGCCGCTCTCAAACTGAGCAATACCAAGGCTGGATTCACCCTGGGCGACCTTGGATTGCCATCCATTAGCTACGAGAGGCTACATGAGGTGATTCCTTGCTCCCCCATGCAGCAGGGTATTCTCCTATCCCATGAAAGAGATACGCGCCTCTATCAAGTCCAATCCATCTGGAAGGCCCCCTTTGCGGAACCTTTCGAGCCCGAAGTGGTACTTGGCCGTTTCCAAACCGCTTGGCAGCAGGTTGTCGATCGACATGCTATCCTGCGTACTGTTATGGTTGAGAGCCGCGTGAATCATGGCTCTTTTGACCAGGTGATACTCAAAGAAGCTGTGCCAAAGATGGAAAATTTTTGCCTCTCACAGGGTGACCCCCTGGTAACACTTCGTGATCGTGGCCAGGTCCGCTTCAGACCTGAGGAACCCCAACACAAGTTCATTGCCTGTAATACGGGGGATGCGGTGTACCTGAGTCTCGTAATCAGTCATGCTTTGATTGACGCGCAGTGATTTCGATCATCATGCGCGATTTGGTGAAAGCATATGATGGAAAGCTTCCTAAGGGACCGGGCCCGAATTATGGAAAATATATCTCCTACCTCCAGGAGCAAGAACATGGCCTGTCCATTGACTACTGGACAAATTACCTCCAAGACGCCATTCCATGTGTCCTTCCCAATATGAACTACCGGGTTCTGAATGGGGAAGCCCACCGAGAAATCAAAAGGCTCGATTTAGAAATGGAAAATCTGGCCAAGCTGCAACGATTTTGCGCACAGGAAGGCATCACCATTTCGAATATGTTCCAGCTAGCTTGGGGTCTGACCCTGCGCTGCTTCATAAAGACGGATGATGTCAGTTTTGGCTACCTCTCCGCTGGTCGGGACGTCGCCCTGGATGATATAGAAGACGCGGTCGGTCCTTATATTAACATGATGATCTGCCGGATGGTTCTTGGGGGAGTCAAAACACTGAGAGAAGAACTTCAATCCCTCCTAGCTAGTTTTGTCAAGAGTCATGCCCACCAGTATGCGCCTTTGGGTCAAATACTTGGCGCCTTGAAACAGCCCGGTCCGCTATTCAACACCCTCATCTCTGTGCGAAGACCATCCTCCGATGGAGTCACTGACGCCTCACCACTCCGATTGAAAAATATTTGGGAAGTCGACCCAACAGAAGTAAGAATCACCCCTTATATCACCCTCATTCTTTACTCTCTTATTGACCAGTATTGTCGCCCTTAGTATAACCTTTCAGCCAACATCTACGTCTCAAGCGCCTCCATTCACATCTCCATGTCCTACTGGACCGACGTCTGCTCGGACGAACAAGCTGCGTGTTTTGCCAGCACCCTACAGAAGGCACTGAACACTATCTCTGAGCACACAGACTCCACACCGTCGCAGCTTGATCTATTCAGTGAACGAAACTACTCACAGGTACAGAAGTTGAATGCAAACGCACCCCAAAGGGTAGAGCAGTGCGCACACCACCTCGTTGACCAGCAAACCAAGGTACAGCCCCTGGCGCCCGCTGTGTGTGCCTGGGATGGTGATTTCACATATGGGGAGCTCGACCACCTCGCGTCTCAGTGGGCCGCGCATCTGGCTCAATACGGGGCGGGTCCAGAAAAGCTGATCCCCGTCCACTTCGAAAAGTCAAAATGGGCGGTGGTGGCCATTCTGGCAGTGGTAAAGGCCGGGGCAGCATTTGTCCTGCTCGATTCCTCCTTTCCTCTGAATCGGCTGCGCGATATCTGCGAGGATATCCAGGCAACGATTTTGATCTCGTCCGAGGCTCTGTTTGGCGTGAGCACACAGCTGGCCTCGTCTGTTACTGTAATTGGAGACAGCACGAGAAGTCCGGGTACTCGATTTGAGCCTCTAGTTCCATCGGTCCTACCACCGAACGCACTCTATGCTGTCTTTACTTCCGGTTCCACAGGCAAGCCCAAGGGAGTGGTTCTCGAGCATTCATCGTTTTGCACCAGTGCCAAAGCCCACGGGGCACTCTTTTCGCTCAGCACTTCCTCCAGAGTGTTGCAGTTCTCATCATATGCATTTGATGTGAGTATTTCAGAGCTGTTGACAACGCTGTGCTTCGGCGGCTGCATATGTGTCCCGTCGGAGGACGAGCGCCTCAACGACCTCACTGGCGTGGCTAACCGCCTGGCCATCAACACAACCTTTCTCACTGCATCTGTCTCGCGCCTCATGGAACCCGAGCAGGTCCCCAACTTGCACACGGTAGTACTCATAGGGGAGCCTATGTCCGAGCAGGAGTTAGACAGGTGGGCGGACCATTGCACTTTAATCAATTCGTACGGGCCGTGCGAATGCTCCATCTACACCACCGTACAGCCGCATGTCAGTCGCCTGACGGACCCGCGCGATATCGGGTACGCCATGCAGAGCCTTCTGTGGATTGTTGACCAAAATGATCACAACCGACTGGCTCCTGTGGGTACCATTGGTGAGCTGGTGATTGAGGGGCCATTGGTGGGAAGGGGGTATCTAAGGAATCCTCAAAAGACGGCCGAAGCTTTCATCCAACCGCCACAGTGGCGATCGCGCTTCCCCGTCAGTGTGGGCGGGGGCTTTTACAAGTCGGGTGACCTGGTGCGGTACGGGCCGGAAGGTACCATACACTTCGCGGGTCGCAAGGACTTTCAGGTCAAGATAAACGGACAGCGTCTGGAGCTAGGGGAAATTGAACACCACCTGCGGATATGCTTGGGACGGTCTATCGACGTGCTGGTCGACGTCGTGTACTTTAACCAGCCCTCTGACCACCCGACCCTGACGGCCTTCTTCAAATCACGTAAGGCACGGGCGACGGAAGCCTCTATCTTCATGGCGGATGTCCCTTCGATGATTGCGAGCCTGAAATCCCGCCTCCGGGGCTCTCTCCCTCAATACATGGTGCCCCAGGTGTATATCCAGCTGGAGGACTTTCCCGCGGGCAATACCAACAAGATTGACCGGGCCAAACTTCGTGAGATGGCACTCATGATGCGCCAGAAGGACATGGCAGGAGAATCCGAGAAGAAAAGGCAGCCACGTAACGAGGGGGAGAGAAAAATCCAGAGGCTCGTGGCAAATGTCCTGAATCTGTCTCTTGATCAAGTCGGTCTCGACGACAATTTCTTCATGCTCGGCGGCGATTCCGCCTACGCTATGAAGCTCGTTTCAGCCGCAAGAGCAGAGGCTCTCCACCTATCCGTAAAGGATATTCTGCTGCAGCCCCTGCTGGAGGGCCTGGTCGGCTCCGAGAACCAGCCCGAGCCGCCTGATGTCAATTCCAGTGCGACACCCATTACGATGCACACTTGCGGGCTTCTAGACATCGAAAATGCCGAGGAATTTATACGCGAAACCATTGCCCCAAAGACCGCCTTTACTGCAGACAAAATTCTTTATGTGCTTCCCACGACTGAATTCCAGGCAGATAGTATCCGCAACTGGCCGTTCACCTACTTCCTGGTCACCATGCATGGTCCCCTTGACAAAATGCGTCTTCGGAACGCATGCAAGATTTTGATTGAACGGCATGAGATATACCGCACAGTATTTGTTGCCGACGGACCCGACATACTCCAGGTCGTTTTGAAGCAGGTCGATGTGCCTTTCTTGGAGTTCCCGACTGACAGAGAGAAAGACTTGTCCGCCTTGTGCGAGAGGGTCTGTCGCGCGGACTCGGACCGCGGCGTACCACTAGGACAGCTCCTCACCAAATTCACCCTCTTTAGTCAGGAAGATCCAAATTACCACATCCTCGCTCTTCGGCTCTCCCACGCACAATATGACGGATATTGTATGCCTTTGCTGTATACGGACCTGGCAGCCATATACGAGGACAGGTCACTTGAGCTTGTGACAAATTTCTCAACTTACGTTCGTCATCTCAATGCGCAGGGCCCCTCCAAGGCACGCCACTTCTGGACGGAAACTCTCAAGGGCTGCCCTCATCCGACAAGCCTGGGCCGACTGTCTCTGGGTACAGCTGATAATGCTCATTATTCCTTGATAGAATTGACCAAGGAGGTAGCGCTCCCCAGCCCGCCCACCACAATCACAATTGCAACCCTTATGAAGGCGGCAGCGGCGCTGCTCTTAATGCAACTGACGAGTGACACCGACTTGGTCTTTGGCCAGGTAGTAAGTGGGCGCAACATAGGTCTTGCAGGCGTTGAAAGTATCCTTGGCGTATGTGCGAACACTGTGCCTATTCGCGTTCAATGTCAGCCAAAGTGGACAGTGTTCGACCTCCTTCAGACTGTGCAAGCCCAGCACATCGATGCTCTGGACCACGAGACCCTGGGTCTAGAGGAGATCCGACAGAACTGTACCGAGTGGCCGGAGGGCACTCAGTTGGGATGTCTGATCCAGCATCAAAATTTGGACCTTAAACCCAAGTTTTCCCTGTCTGAGGTTAAGTGTACGACCCGGGTGTTTGGTGGCTCGTTCGAGCGAAAGTTCCTGCACATATGTACTCTCCCCCGCGGAAACAGGATGGTAGTCCAGATCTTCGCGCCAAGTAACCTACTCAGTAAGGCCCATTGCGAAAGGGTGCTCGATCAGCTGTGTGAGGCAGCGTTTTGGCTTGCTGCTCACCCTTATCACTTGCTCTCAGAAGGTCGGAATCCTTTCATCACAAATTGAAAGACTGCCATACCTTGTTTTTAGATAGCATAATTGCAGAAGCTCCGTCTTGGGTCTTCGGACTGCTCGGTGTACCTATATCATACTTCCATGTAGATAGATAGCTTACATGCGATGCTAGGATGATCATGTGGTCGATCCTTGGCAACCATCAAAGAAACCCGAGATAAAGAAGTTAAATGTATATCAAGATCCTGGTTCCGCCTCTAGGGCGCTTTTCCTTTACATTACTTTTGTATAATCAATGTTAGACTTCCGCAGAACCCAACCTAACCCGGACCCAACCCGGACCCAACCCGGACTGGGTTGGGTTTTAGGTCGAGACCCTCGACCCAAATTGAGTTATGCGGAAGTCTAATAATCATGGGCCTTGGCCTTTAAAGTTCAAAACGCCCATGGGCGGGCATCGTCGCAGTCTACCTAGAAGTAGAGAAGTAAATCGCTAAACTATACCTATATCCATAGATTTATTAAATTATATCTATAGGCCGTTATTCTACCGGATACTAGAATATATAGGACTTTTCTCGAGTAGGTTATAAGAGGAATATATAGTCGGATTAAAGAAAGGCCTATAGTCGAGACAATTTAGGGATTTTTTAGGAAATTCGCGACTAGTATAATGTGAAGGGCTGTAGCCGAATTGACTCAATTGGGCTAGGCTAACATGCTGTTTACCTCAATCTCCAAGAAAGCAACTATCCACGGCCGTTCGCTGGGTGTTTAGGTATCAGGGCACGTGCCTCCACGTGATCCAGGCCGGGCTTCAGCCCGTGACATATAAAGAGAGAAAGAAACTTCGAATTCCTATTAGCTACTAGGACTATAATTAATAAGGTCTATATGTTATGGACATGGTAGTTGCCAATCGATGGCAACCCCACAGTTACACAGATAGGCCACCGAGAGCCAACCAATCTATCTGTTATCAAGGCAGTAGACTGCGACAATGCCCGCTGTAACGGATAAAGATCCTTACAAAGAGAATACCATGTCAGGCAGTCTTGGCAGATCGACCCCACGTCGTGGCCGATCCGAGAGGGGTTCATCACATGATATGCATTTCGACATTGGAGAGATAGATCCCTTATAGTCTGGGACTCCCCAGGGTCCCTCAAAGAGACTGGCAAGAATTAGTCTTGGCACTCCAGACAATACATTGCGTTCTCCTCCAAGCCATAGTATCTTACCCGGTTGACAGGCCATACTCCTGGAAACAGTATACCTTTACACCCGCCCATGGGCGCCTACGACAGGCCCAAGGCCCGTCCACGGTGGGCCTTGGGCTTTTGGGACATGGCCGCGCCCGCCCATGATGGGCATGCCCAAGTGCCCAACTTTACATAAAATTTCCTAAAACGGACGTATAATTCGCTGACGTAGCAGAATAAATTACTGTTATTTACACTTGTTTTGTTAGTCCTCTTCTCCAACCATATTGTGCCTATGACATGAAATGAACCTGTAATTATTAATTTAACATTGCTATGACCCGCCGGAGTAAAGTCTAGTGATTTTCTTTGGTGGTGTAGAGAGGAAGCTATGGTAGATAGTGTATATCATGAGGAGTAGCGCCCGTCCATGGGCTTTGTCGCAGTCTACGCCGGAGTGCCCTAAGCTTAGGCTTAGGGCTTAGGTGAGGAGTGGATCAAGAAAGCGGACAAAGGAACTAGTCTGCCTTTGCGACGCAACCAACAGCAGCTACTCCTAGTACCTAGGTACATATTGCTTGTCTTTCAAGTTACAATGACGTGTCCTTCAGGTATTATTTTAATTGATGATGACGAACAACTCCCAAATTGGCGGCCACTGATCCGCGAATCCGAAGGATCTCCTCCCATACATTTCCTGAAACCCGATTATTGAACCAAACAATTGTAGTATTATCACATTCCACAAACGCAAAAAGGCCAAAAGAAATCAAACTAGCATTCTGGTGTCGCCTTTCTTCCTAAGACACACTCTTTTTCTCGAGCTAATAATGAACCCGAACGACGCTTTAAAGAAGCCACGTGAGACAGTTAGTTCTGAAGCGGAAAATCTGCGACTAGAACTTTTGATTGATCTTCTCCTAGAAAGAAACTGGCATGAAGAAACGCAAGAGAAGCTCTCCCAGCAGAAGAAACGACTAGACAGCAAAATTTGCTACATATCAGATTGTTGGTTGACTATGCTATGTGGGCATATGGCTTGTGAGTTATACGTAGGAAGTCTTGAACCAAAAATATGCCTTTTGTGTAGAGCAAGCGTTTCAGGATATGTGAATGCAATCGATTTGTAGGATAGACGTGTATATATCCGTGAAGACCAACACATTGTAACTTTTTAAGGGGCTAGAAATGCTTTTAATTTACGATACTCACTACGGGTTGTCTAAGCATTTTCCTCCTAGGCGACCGACAGCGCTTAAAGCTAATTTGACGTCGTAGAATTGAGATTCAGCTGCTATTGCGTTGCTTGTCGATGGCGGGCTGGTGACAGTGCTCGCTGTAGGTAGGGGGTTTCGGGGCTGTGAAGTCGCTAGTGGCGAGACGGTTGATGAGATGTGCTGAGTAACAGATGACCCCACTAGAGACGCCAACGAGGGGTATTCGGATTTGAGGTCATTGCCATCATCGGCTGCCAAACGAATGAGGCGATAAAGGGCCAATTTGATCGTAAGGCCGCTTTGGGAGACCCAAGGAATTTTCTTATATTCCACCAGCCTTATACGAGCTTCAAAAAAAAGACTCGTTAATAGACATATTGTCAATTGTATTGGACTCGTGGAAGAAGATGCCACCCGTTGATGTGAGGGTGGTGGGCGGGTGCGTTTAAGTCTGGGTGATCGAACTGGGTCTGTTGCTAAATGGAGCCGTATAACCACGAGCTCCTGATCGCTGATAACAAACATATACTCGTAGTTGAAATCGGTCTATTGTTTTATGCCCGCAATTGGCTCCCATCCTTCACTAAAGTGGAGGGTCTGTGTTGGTTTGACATAAGGAATGACAATTGGGTTGCGTTGTGTCAGGTAGCTAAGGAGAGTTTCGGTCATGTCGACGAATCTATTGCTATGGATGGAATGGAAAAGGGAGAATGGGGGGAGAGAAGTACTAATAAATGGCTCGGCCGCGCTTTTGGCGCTATGCCAATTTCTTCGTAATTTAGGTCAAATGCCCGTTGATATGGCACTACGAGTTGAGATACCTTCCTTTCCAGCTGGTATCCAACTATACTCTTCAATGTCGCTTCGTAACGTCTACAGTACGGACGACATGACTGTCCGGGTGCATCGGCGTAAATAGATCTATTAGGTCTTACCCTGTTGGGTCAGCTCCACAGGAAACTGAGCTATACAGGCACTCTGGACGACCCTTATATTAACAGATGCTCTAGAAGCCACTAGGCTCCTTAATTCTTAGCCTTGAAGTGATTCTACAGTAGCATAACTAGGCGAGAAAGAGTAATACTAAAACTAGTTGAAGAATGTGAGTAGGTCTAGAGAACTGGAGAATCTCATCCACAGAAAAAAAGGGCAACTGCCGAGCTACTGTTTGTGTAGCTGCAGGTCAAAATAGTCCAAACTTCTGAATTCGAGGTCTGGAATATGTTATCTTAAGAAGAACAGTCTGCTGTATTCAAATCAGCAAAGGAATTGTCTTTTATGGAGGCCACTTAGGTAAACAGGTGCTTAGTCTGCCGGCAAAAACAGGCATCTATGCACTAAGTATTAATCTTCATCTCCAAGTCCCCGAGGCTTTTATTGCATGAAAAGAAATAAACTCGGAATAAGGAGTAAGTCTCTTTAAAGCAGCTGAACATCGACTCACTGATCGACGAGGGTCGAACGATGAATTTAGAGAAACAAACCAAAAGGCAACTATTCAGAACTATGTCTCAGATGAGCAATGATGATTTTATGGTCTACTCGCCGACCATGCGTGGTTTCAGCTATATGGAGAAAGTCTTCAGTGAATCAGCTTTGGCCAATGAGGAGGAGCCTTCAACGCTGGACTGACCTAGTGCATGTCCTCTTAGGCGAACATTGTCTCAAGCTACATCTTATACGTTTGATATTATTCGAAGGGATTATATGCAGGCTTCAGTCATTTCAAGCTCTCGCCTACCTCTTTACTGTGCCACTTCACGGGCTTTTGTTAAAGGAATGGGTAGATAAGCACTAATCCTTCATGCAAGGAAAAGCACGTAGCGTTCCGAAAGCCCGCAGTTCAAGTCCGTTGTACCCATTGAATCTACTTCGTAGATTTGAGCAAAAATCGCTTCCAATGCAAAACAGCTACCGTAGCAGAGTTAAAATGGGCTTTCCAATTACAACGAGCAGAATGACAACTTCGCTACCACTAAAGGAGGCGTGATGGAGTGAGACTAGGCTATGGAATAAAGAACAGTAGCTTATCCTTTATCAACTAAGTGCTTTGTACTTGTCAAGACTTCAATACTATCCAAGACTGGGCTAGGGAGTGCCAGGCGCCAGATTTTGATCTTAAGATACATGTTTTTTCCATGCACCATCATTGAATTCGCAGATGAATTATTGAACAAACTGTCAATCAAATAAGACTGGTTAGGACGCAAACCACTTAGTATCAATAACACTATTATATCTTTAAGATTGAGAGCCATTATCCCAGGTTTCTGAACTGTTTCCGTTATCGAGGCCTCTCATTATGCTGTCAAAGAAAGCCATATCGACACCCTGGAATGCCCAGTCGTCCACCCCGGCAGTTAGCCCAGGATCCTGATAGTTCTGCGGGAGGGTATCAGAAACGGCATCCTGATATCGCGTTGTGAGCTGCGCAGGCGGACCATTAACACTATCGACAGAGTTGTAATCCGCTTCGGTAATTGACCTAGGAAATGCATTTCCATCGAAGCGACCAGAGCCAAGATCACGCACTGCAGCTTCCAAGCTCTCGGTGTTATGCATACCAATCACCGGAGCGTAGGGTTGGCCATTACTTAAAGGATGTTGTGCGTTGGCCATTTCCCTGGAAACA